TTAGAGCTGTCTGCTGAGGTGCCAGTGCTAGAGAATCCTCCCTCTACCAGATATGGGACTTTGAGGGCCTCTTAATGTAGTTCTGGCTCTTCCCCCCCCTCCCCCCTGGAACAAAGGAGTTGGAACAGGAATAAAAATTCCATCCTTGAAGCCTAAAATTGGTATGATAGTTTGTATGACCCCCCCATCATTGCAGCTGCTGTCGCCCATCATTTTAGTATTTCAGATTTTGGGAGAGTAAGAGGAGAAAAAGAAAATTCCTGGATTCTGCCTGCTCTGTTGGTAGACGAGAGTATCTGATAAGGAGTCCAGAGAGACCAAATGAAGAGCTTGTTGTCCCTATACGTAAAACAGTAATGAGATAATGTACTGACCCTGAAGATCTATTGTAAAAGGAACTTTCTTACCAGCTGGGGTTTTCTGATCTCACTCAGTTCTAATTTTCATTATTTTCAAAATATATCATGTAACAAAATCACTGTCTACAGGTTTTCTTACTTTATTATGGCAAAGACCACCTTTTTACTTTCATAGAAGAAGCTCCTAATAATATGGTGATGTGCATGGGTTCTGAAAATATTCAACTAAAAAGATAGTGATAACTCTTGTTTGTGATGACCACATCTTTTATGAATTCTTGGGTATTTTCACTACAGTGAAACTGCGAGTGGTCACTCCTCTAGTGTAGATGGGATTGGAAAAGAAAAATAGACTGTAAATAAATAAATATGTATGTATGTATTGTGACAGACCTAGATCAGCCATCTGCTGCTCACTGGTGGGGGGAATACATGCTGGAGCTTGGGTGAACAGCTTTCTCTTTCTTGAGTAAAAAAAAAGGACAGAATAATCAGGCAGGCACGTAGTGTCAATGAGAACTATCTAGAAGCCATGGGCCAGTTAGACACCTGCAGCCAATTAAGACCTGTGGTGCTGCTTTAAAAGGTCTCATCCCAGCTAAGGAAGGAGGAAGGAAAAGAGTGAAGGACAGGAAGGAGGAAGCGCTATGTGGAGGTGTGGGTGTGGGTGTGGGACTGATGAGAAGTTCCTAAGGAAAGATGCGGGGAGGGATTGTTTGTGGAACTGGCCCAGAGAAAAGCTACCAGATTGAGTGTCAGAACCCTACCTGTTGCCACTATCTTAGGGTCCCTGGTCCGGAACCTGGAGTAGTGGGCGAGCCCAGGTTCCCTCCAACCTCCCCGTAACATCTCAACCTTTCTCGAGAAGGGAGATCAGGACTCTCTTATGAACTAGCCTGTGATGAGCATAGATCAGTAGGCTGTGGCTCCTGCCTCTTGTAAAGAGAAAGAGGCTGTGTGGAGGGGCACAGCGAGCCTCTGAGGCTAACACTATCTGCCAGGAGCCCAAGACTCACGGGGAATAGCCAGAGCTCTGCCACGGTATCTATGCATTTATTTGTAACTTGAAGCCTCATGGAATTCTAACTATGATCAGCAGCCCGGAACCTTGAGTGCTATCCTTCCACATGGACTAGAGCCAGCGGTTTGACTTGGCTCATGGGTCTTCAGCGGGTCATCCATATTTCATCCACCTATCCTCCATAGGAAACCAGTGTTATAATAAGGCCCAGGCCTGAGAAGTGCTTATTTCTGAGGCACTGGGTGTCCTACTGTTCCACCTTGCAGAATTAATATATAAAACCAGACAGCAAGGACAGAAAATCATGCTCAGTTCCTCAGTAGTAGAAAAACGGTGTTTCCCTTTAAGTGTGATTGACAGCAGTGGTATTGTCAGTCAGCCTTTAAGAGCCTTCCTGTGTGTGTGAGGCTTGCTGTTTTCTAAGCAGTCCTGCTTACGTCATCTGTGTGGGTTAACTTCCATATATGGGTATGGTGTGTATGTAGGGGGTTGCATATCTTCATCTTCCACAGTTGTTTGAAGGGTGTAGGCAAAGGCAGGACTCCAGGCTCCAAGAGTGAGGAAAAGAAATAATTTGGTTTCTAAATTGGGAATGGACATGAGTGCAACTGAACCACAGAAACTCTTTGGCCAAACCCCACAAATTTGGGGATGTTGCTGAACTGACCCTATTAGAATAAAATGGTGATGTATAAATACTGACTCTGGATGGTTTTAGTGTTTTGCTCTTACAATGCAAGTATTTGTGTGTTAAAAACAGTAAGAACAAGACATCTGAAAATTAGGATTCTGTGTCAGGCTGTCAATACCCACAAGCATGCAGCCTTTCATTAAAATCTGTTTGACATTTTTGTTATGCACAGAGAGCCAAAAAGATGCCAAAAGCCTGATATTTGTGATCACATCCTCCTGCTAATATAAGACACTGCAAAGGCGATTGTATTAAAACATTCCTTGAAAAAGACTGAACAGTAAAAATAAAAGAATAAAAAATAGACTTAAATGTGAGATGATAATTCTAGATGCTCTTATTGGGTGAAGTAATTTTCCTTTTAACTCTTCATAAATATGTGAAATAATAAGTAACATGTTTAATTCCAATTTTCCACAAGGGTTTTCAAACCTAAGAAAATTGTGCAAAATTTAATCATTCAGTGAAAATCATGTAATGATCATGTGTCACGTGACCTGGCAGGAGAGATATTATTATGTCACAACACCGTGAGTAAATTATCTTACTGGTGACTCGCTTAAAGGTCATGGAGATCATCTGATGCATGAGATGGAAATTTCTCATGCCAAAACAATATTGACAGCTTATCAAGCAGGGAGGAAAGTACAATAATAAAATAGAATGTAAGGTAAGATAACACTTGCTACTGAAGGTAGAAAATACGACATGGCATTTCAATTTTAAGGTTATAGGCAGGATGATATGGTATGAAGGTTTAGATGCAAAATAGTGTAACTTGCATGTGAATTTATTGGAGTAAATACAAATACAGTATTTTAATGTATACATACAGAATATAAATATATAGTGGATTCTAAAAAGAAAGGGACACAAACATGGTACAAACAAAGGAGCACTGAGATGGCCTACAACTTGCAAGAATCTTGGCCTCCTTCTTTCCTTTTTATTATAGTTATTCTAGCATGGATGGAGAGATTCAAATTTCACCAGTTTTAGTTGTATTTGTAATTCTGTCACAAGAATTCCCTATTGCTTTTATTTAGTTTGATTTATTGACCATATCCATCCTACCATTTTACAGCTTCAGCAAAATGTAAAAGGTGGAATGGCCAGATACACACAATAAAACATATTGTGGTATGATACAGTACATTAGAGAGAGAGATTTGTGAACTATACTGGACATTAAAGTCCTCCCATTGTGTTTTCACAAACATGTTGTAATGAAAGCAAACAAGTTGAGTGCGGATTGAGGATAGGAAGTTTCACTGAGGTTCTGATTCATCAAATCACGGATGTTCTTGATGTTAAACATTGACTAAAGGAGTGACCCTTGTTGAATCGGGCCTTATCTTTTCATGCCACAACTTTAAAATTTAATCTTCTTGCTTCTCTTCTCGTTAGAGGCAAGAGTCAGCACATTCATATTTACCTTTCATATTTGGTGAAACTGCCTCCGGAACCTGGAGTAGTGGGCGAGCCCAGGTTCCCTCCAACCTCCCCGTAACATCTCAACCTTTCTCGAGAAGGGAGATCAGGACTCTCTTATGAACTAGCCTGTGATGAGCATAGATCAGTAGGCTGTGGCTCCTGCCTCTTGTAAAGAGAAAGAGGCTGTGTGGAGGGGCACAGCGAGCCTCTGAGGCTAACACTATCTGCCAGGAGCCCAAGACTCACGGGGAATAGCCAGAGCTCTGCCACGGTATCTATGCATTTATTTGTAACTTGAAGCCTCATGGAATTCTAACTATGATCAGCAGCCCGGAACCTTGAGTGCTATCCTTCCACATGGACTAGAGCCAGCGGTTTGACTTGGCTCATGGGTCTTCAGCGGGTCATCCATATTTCATCCACCTATCCTCCATAGGAAACCAGTGTTATAATAAGGCCCAGGCCTGAGAAGTGCTTATTTCTGAGGCACTGGGTGTCCTACTGTTCCACCTTGCAGAATTAATATATAAAACCAGACAGCAAGGACAGAAAATCATGCTCAGTTCCTCAGTAGTAGAAAAACGGTGTTTCCCTTTAAGTGTGATTGACAGCAGTGGTATTGTCAGTCAGCCTTTAAGAGCCTTCCTGTGTGTGTGAGGCTTGCTGTTTTCTAAGCAGTCCTGCTTACGTCATCTGTGTGGGTTAACTTCCATATATGGGTATGGTGTGTATGTAGGGGGTTGCATATCTTCATCTTCCACAGTTGTTTGAAGGGTGTAGGCAAAGGCAGGACTCCAGGCTCCAAGAGTGAGGAAAAGAAATAATTTGGTTTCTAAATTGGGAATGGACATGAGTGCAACTGAACCACAGAAACTCTTTGGCCAAACCCCACAAATTTGGGGATGTTGCTGAACTGACCCTATTAGAATAAAATGGTGATGTATAAATACTGACTCTGGATGGTTTTAGTGTTTTGCTCTTACAATGCAAGTATTTGTGTGTTAAAAACAGTAAGAACAAGACATCTGAAAATTAGGATTCTGTGTCAGGCTGTCAATACCCACAAGCATGCAGCCTTTCATTAAAATCTGTTTGACATTTTTGTTATGCACAGAGAGCCAAAAAGATGCCAAAAGCCTGATATTTGTGATCACATCCTCCTGCTAATATAAGACACTGCAAAGGCGATTGTATTAAAACATTCCTTGAAAAAGACTGAACAGTAAAAATAAAAGAATAAAAAATAGACTTAAATGTGAGATGATAATTCTAGATGCTCTTATTGGGTGAAGTAATTTTCCTTTTAACTCTTCATAAATATGTGAAATAATAAGTAACATGTTTAATTCCAATTTTCCACAAGGGTTTTCAAACCTAAGAAAATTGTGCAAAATTTAATCATTCAGTGAAAATCATGTAATGATCATGTGTCACGTGACCTGGCAGGAGAGATATTATTATGTCACAACACCGTGAGTAAATTATCTTACTGGTGACTCGCTTAAAGGTCATGGAGATCATCTGATGCATGAGATGGAAATTTCTCATGCCAAAACAATATTGACAGCTTATCAAGCAGGGAGGAAAGTACAATAATAAAATAGAATGTAAGGTAAGATAACACTTGCTACTGAAGGTAGAAAATACGACATGGCATTTCAATTTTAAGGTTATAGGCAGGATGATATGGTATGAAGGTTTAGATGCAAAATAGTGTAACTTGCATGTGAATTTATTGGAGTAAATACAAATACAGTATTTTAATGTATACATACAGAATATAAATATATAGTGGATTCTAAAAAGAAAGGGACACAAACATGGTACAAACAAAGGAGCACTGAGATGGCCTACAACTTGCAAGAATCTTGGCCTCCTTCTTTCCTTTTTATTATAGTTATTCTAGCATGGATGGAGAGATTCAAATTTCACCAGTTTTAGTTGTATTTGTAATTCTGTCACAAGAATTCCCTATTGCTTTTATTTAGTTTGATTTATTGACCATATCCATCCTACCATTTTACAGCTTCAGCAAAATGTAAAAGGTGGAATGGCCAGATACACACAATAAAACATATTGTGGTATGATACAGTACATTAGAGAGAGAGATTTGTGAACTATACTGGACATTAAAGTCCTCCCATTGTGTTTTCACAAACATGTTGTAATGAAAGCAAACAAGTTGAGTGCGGATTGAGGATAGGAAGTTTCACTGAGGTTCTGATTCATCAAATCACGGATGTTCTTGATGTTAAACATTGACTAAAGGAGTGACCCTTGTTGAATCGGGCCTTATCTTTTCATGCCACAACTTTAAAATTTAATCTTCTTGCTTCTCTTCTCGTTAGAGGCAAGAGTCAGCACATTCATATTTACCTTTCATATTTGGTGAAACTGCCATATTACTTTCATCAATAACCCTCCCTGAACACCAAATTAATTTGAATGAATTGACTGCAAAGATGTATAAGGCAAGATTGAAAGCATAATAGCACTGAATCGGTTTGGATGACATGGTTGTTTAAACGGTGGCAGGTGCCACAGCTTGCTTTACAATCATGCTGCCACTTTTGGAACCCAGTGGTGGAGCCGCTCTGTCGATAGCAAAGGTTGGGAATTTCTCAAAAGAAAGGATAATGTGAACAAGTCCTGAGAGACATTTAAAGAGAAAGGTTCTAGGTAAACATTACTGGAAAAGGTCTGAACAAGTCTGGCTGACATCTATCCAACAATACATTTTAAAAAGGGAGACCACATTAACCCAAATGAGGCAGTGTGCTGATTATATGAAAATCAGAAACAGGAGTATGGTGTGCATGCACAAGAAAAGGTGTTGAAAGCTACTTTGAAGTCTCTAGTTTTATATAAATATATATCTCTTGACTCTTTGCCTCTAAGGCCACTCATAACACTTGATTAACGAACATTGTTTACTCAGCTTCTGAATAGTTATTTTGCAGAAACAAGTTGCTTATTCATACCATTTCTCCACTGCTAGCTCTGTCCACCAGTTTTCTCCTCTATTTTTTAAAAGCACTTGTAAAAGGGCATTAACACCCAGAAAGTATCTGTTCTAATGCAGTATGATCGTTCAGGATAGCCAGTGGAAAATACATTACCTTTGAGTCGAATCTGTTTGGTTTGAGAAATCTGTTTCTTGTCTGGTGTAACAGATTGTCTGGAAGAGTGTACTGTACCTGCTACCCACAGGTCATTACTCAATGGAAATCACACTTTAAAAAAGCACAGTGTCAAAAGCATGGAGGAAATAAATCAGGCTAGATCAGAGATCCCTCTCTGTGCATATGCTTCTCCAAGCATTTGTATCTGGTTCAGAATAAGGTTAGCTTCAGCGTGTGATGTTTCACATCTGTGGATGGGTGTCAAAATGCTGCCAATTCATTTTCTTATTGGTACTCTTCTCATTGCTATCATATCTTTCTAATGTTCCTTAACCCAAATTAATAACATCAGGGTTTTTTTTTCATTTGTTTCTTAGGACTTTTGTAAATGTGAATTTAAGGATTTGGGGGATAGATCATCAGCTAGTGTAAATCAACATGATACTATTGGCATTGATGGAGCTGAACTAGTTTATATCTAGTAGTGATATAATTTCTGTTTTTGTTAGATGAGCATAACAAGGGTCCTGCATTTTCTTTTCAAAACTTGCTAAGAAAGAAGTTGAACCTGATTCTCTCATGTACAATAAAAGAAGATATCTCATCTCTTTGTCCAAAGAGACAATTTGCAAGTGTAGCATAAGGAAGAATTATTGTATTCTTGGTACAGCAGTCAATGACAAGAAAGACTGTTGAGTAATGAGATTTTTCTTGGTTATTTGCGGGCAAATCCTGATGGTGAAAGAACACTGTGGCATCTCCCTCACAGTAACAAATGGAAAACTCTTCACTTTGGACAGAAAACCAGAGAGTTAAGGAACATTGGAATGGTGATATTAGATCAGATCTGAAATCCACCTTCTCTCATGTTCCATCATCAACAATGGCCAGCAACAGATGGTTCAGAGAAGGTGTAAAAATCTTACAATTGCACATGTGAAACAGTCTACCTTCCCATTAGGTTTCATCCTGATCTTGAATAGTTAGCTTATAGTGAATAGGCTTAAGCCCGAAAGCATGACGTTTTCACGTCCTTTCCAAAAATGTAATTATCGTTATCTATTACAACTTTGTCTATTCTAGCCACAGTAAAAGATGAAGGCTTAGGAAAATATTTTGGCTCCAAAATATCCTGTGAATATTCTCTACATGGAGTCATTCATACATGTTTTAGTGAGACGAAGGAGTCAATTTGGATAAAATTGTGCATGTCTGAAAACAGCTATCTGGAAGAATGTAGGTGGGCTAGTTATTCTTATCACGAGCCACTATTTGACTTGTGGACATCATCTAGCAGCTAGATCAGGAGTGGGCAATAACTTCTGCACAGCTGTGTGTACCAATGATCGTAGTTCCCATTGGCCATAGATGGCCATTCCCAGCCAATGAGAGAGGCGAGAAGTGGTATGGACCGGGACACCACTTCCCACAGCTATCCATTGGCCGGGAATGGCAATCTGTGATCACTGGCACCTGTGGCCGTGCAGGTAAATATAGTGGTGAGGGCCCGTCAGAAGCTAACCCTAGTGAACTGGATCTGGCCTGCGGGTTGACAGTCACATTAGAAGTGTCTGTTATAGCTAAACTGAGTCACAGAATGAATTCCAGCAGTACTAGTAAATTCTGGTACCATGTAGCAACTGTTCCATTCTTTGGAGACCTTGGATATCAAAGATTCTCAGCATCCAAAATCCATGGTGCAAACTCCTGAATTCATCTATAAAGGATCTAAAAAATAAACATGTTGAGTGCCAAATATTCACTGTATCAGAGAAAATAGAAAAGAAAAAGCATATACAAAATAAAACGCTCAGCCCTGCCGATCATTCAGCTTGGAATGGTTTGTTGACAGTTACACAGTTCCTGAGTTTTGCTTTGAATTTCAAGCTCCTTTGTAATAGGGCAGTGCTAGCTACCCTTTGAAGGTGCCAGAGGTGAAGGAACACCAGGGATGTGGATGTCTGAGCTCTTTCATCCCACTACTCAGAAGAAGGTATGGGACAGAGGCGAACAGGACATGTTTACTATAGAATACCAGTCAGTGCAGGCCCCAACAATCTGAAATGAGGCTCACTTCTTGTGTGGAGGATTTCAGGACTAGCTCAAAATATCTTAATATTTTTTAGAGCATTAGCTGAACCTAGTGGGATGTCTTTAGTTTCCAAGTTTTTAAAAAAAGCGCACACAATTGTACATACCATGAGGCAATGCTGTATCCCCACAATGGGACTGCCACTCCCTCACATAGTCTATCAGAACACCTTTTCTTCACTACTCAAATTCTAATTGAAGCCTTTGACAAGGGGAGTTGTTCTTAGACGCTTCCAGCTTTGCTTCTTCAAGAGTCTACTCACTGGGAGCAATGCACTCATTTTTGTAAGAAGAAAGATCCCTTAATTTGCTATTAAATTAAACAGTGTCAGTACTATTGCTGTAGAGCTGAGCGAATAATCCATAATGAATAATTTATTCAACAAATTTAGCTGCTCTCTCTGTTCACAGACTATCTGGAGACAGATCACAATTCTTTGAAATTATTGATGGATAAATTTGCAGTTAACCCTTCCCCCAATTTTGTGACTTGATCCTGCACAGCTTTGAATACCTGAACTCTTTGCCAGTCAAGGTGTGCAGGTCAGCTGTGGCAGATCAGATAAGTCTAATGTCATTTCTGGCTGGATCAGCATATGAACACTTCTGGCATTTTTTTTTTAAATTGTTTCTTCATGCAACTTTGAAATGTGCCTTGTACAAACATTTGCCCAGCAAAACTTGATTGCTCCAAAGTTTACAGAAAGCAAACACAAGGGGGAAACCAAGGCAGCTACGGTATATTCATTTAAATGTGTGAATGAATATTTGCAGGCATTTTTTTTTTGCTCTGTTTGGCAAACTTCATCTAGAACAGTGAAACTCAGACCCCAAGAATTCAGGAGCTAAATTAGCCATCAGTATCAAGAGTCACAATAGTGTGAACTCATTATTTCATTTATTCTATATACATATATATAATTCTCACAGAAACATGACTGAGGAAGTATTATTATTTTATCAGCTACCTTGGAAAATACTACATTAAAAACATCCTGACTGGTTAATAATTAAATCACACAGCATTTTAATATCATGTGCTCCAAAGAGCCATAGGAGACACATTGAAGAGCCACTTGCAAATCATGAGCCTCAGCCTGAGTATCACTGCCCTAGAACATCCAGAATATACATTTCAGCTACTGCTAGCTGTTAACTTTTGTTCCTGCCCTGGCATTTCCCCGCCCCCTCTTAGTTTTTTGATATCCAACAATAAAGTAAATATGGGGAATGCAATGCATTGCCTAAGGCCATGATCCTACAAAGATGTACACAAACGATTAAATTTCTACACTGTAAGTAAACTTAAGCATGTGAATTATTATTTTATTTTTAGAATTAGTGTCTGAAGAGTGTCTGCCTACCAGTGGAAACTGGTTGGTGCTGATCAGCCAATTT